TTGCAGCAGCATTGAGTTGCATTCTGTAATGTGCAGTTAACAAGCTTGGTCTCCCAAGTAACTTTTAAAGCGGGGGTGGTCAACCTCTGGCCTTCAGCAGTTGCTGGGATGGCAACTTCTACCTTCACCATTCTCTACTTTGGGTAATGCCAAAGACAGTTGTAGGCGGAATCACCCGGAAGGTCACAAATTGCCTAACACTGCTTTAAAGAGCCAGCATGGTTTAACGGTAAAAGGAAGCATGAAAGCCTCATGTGCAACCCTTATAGTAAAACTAGCAGCATTATGATGGCTTGATGCATGACTCCCATTTCATAGCTGCAGAGGATATACATCTGATTACCTAAAGGTAATACAAAAGAAATGAGCAAAACTGTTCAATCACAAGGCTTACAGAACAGATCTTTACTGTTTTCTATACTTGGCACTGAATTGCAAAAATACACCTTTGTTTTTATTATTATATTACATTACATTTACGTCTTGTTTTATTCTTGCAAGAACCCAGTACAACTTACATTAAAAACCTGGGCATGCAGGTTTTTAAAAGATGCAGAAAAACTAGAAAGGGTTCAGAGGAAGGCAAAAAAGATAATCCAGGGTCTGGAAAGTAAGCCCTACAATTAGAGGCTGAGAGAGCCGAGCATGTTTAGCATCAAGAACAGAAGACTATGAGGGGATATGATAGCACTGTACAAGTACCTCAAATGCTGTGACAAAGAGGAAGGAAAAGACCCCTTCTCACTCATCCCTTAGTGCAGGACATGGAGCAATGAACTTAAACTGCTGCACACCAGATTCAGGCCTGAGGTCAGGAGAAGTTTCCCAACTGTCAGAGCAATATGACAGAGGAACCAGTTGCCAAAAGAGGTCATGGGCTCTCCCACACTAGAGACATTCAAGGCAAAACTGGACAATCATCTGAGTGGACTGGTGAGACTGGGCTTGCACCAGGAGGGGACCATACCTGATGGCTTTCTTGACCCCTTCTGACTCTACTATTCTATGAATCTATGTGTAACTGAACTATATGCATGCTTCTCCCAGTTTCCCTTGGGCAGAGCTTTGTATGTATCATATTTTCAGCTCCTTGAGGACTTGCCTCTTTGTTTTTACTTTATAAAGCACCATGTACAGTGATGCACTAAAATAAATAATTTTCAAAATAATGAAAGAGGCAAGCTTCTCTACAGGTACATTTCTCTGGCTGCATCACACTATTCAGTTTATGGGCACTAGATCAGCTATTAAATTTCACTAATTTTTCCTTTCCTTTTTAAATGGTTAACAGCTAACATGAGCCCAACAAGAATGATTTGGTAATGACTGTTGCATTGGTTTACAGTTAAATACACTGAATTCACCAGCAGACTTATTTCCTGGTCATGTCATTTTTAAAGATCCTTCTGTAAGCATTTACCAGCTGTACTTTAGCTTTTATACAAACTAAGGATAAGGGCTGGTTTTTAAATGTGTTACAGAAAACTACTGGCAAGAGTTTCTCACACTTGCACACTCTCAAGTGTACATAATGTTCTAAGTGCAATGCCAATATTTATGTGACAGTCCCTTACAATGAGTGCAGACAACATACAGACAAAAGAGTAGGGAGTAGAATAAATATTTTCCCATGCCAATTGTTATCTTCCAACTAAGGCTGCGTTCCTATGGATGCTTGTATGGGAATACACCTCATGAGAAAGAAAATGGGGAGCGGCCCCGTACCAAGTCAGACCACTGCCCAACTAGCTCAGCGTTGTCTGCACTGAGAGTGGCTCCCCAGGGTTTAAAGAAGTCCTTACCAGTCCTGCACTATGTCAAGTATGAAAAAGCTCCACCACGGAGCTACTGATTACTTCTTATTAAACATGCATGGGGTTGCGCTGCCGCATAGAAGCCGTCCACAGAGTTTACATAGAAAGCAAAGTATCCTCATTGAAACCCATACAATAAATCACTTCCACATTTTTATTACACAGTGTTCCATAATGAAAACAAAAACACTAGACAGACCTTTCATAGTCTTCGTATTGCCTTGTAATCTATGAACTGCAGAGTTAGATCAGAGGCACAAACTTGTAAGCAGGGATGTAGCATAGGTCTGTCCAGGTAAACCCAATGGGGGAAACTGATTGAGGATCCGTATGAATTACAATGATCAGTCCTGACTTCTTTATCACTTTCTTCTAGCAAATTACACTCACATATCTAAGGCCTCATAACTGGGGATGTGGAGGAATTTCTTTTTCTTTTACTCTGGCTGCATGGATCACCTACAAATACACTGTAAAGTGGTGAGGAATCAGGGACTGAGTGGAAAATGTGAGATACAAAACGTAATTGTAATTACCAAGGCTTTTAAAAAAAGGTTTGCATGCTCAGTAGCACTGTTAAGCAAATTTCACTGATGAAGTATTACTCCAGACAAATGATTATTACCCACGGGGACTGCATACAGTTTGTGAGAGAGATGTTATATCAAGAAGCAAACTGTTTAGGATGCTAGAGTGGGATATGTGAACAGTCTTTTCCCCCTCCTCACATGAGACTGATCAGGAAACACATTGACAATTAAGGTTTCTGAGTTCCTAAAGGAAAATGGGTTATTACTGGTCTATGACAGGAAAATGGCCAATGTGTATCCAGACTTTCCGTGTGGCTGCTCTAATGTTTTGGTAGCATTAAGCCAGAAAATGAAGAAAAGGTACTGTAGGAAAAAGGTATCAAGTTGTGTGTGGGGAATGGGAGGTGAGGGTTGACTCTTTTGCAATAGTCACTTTTTGTTGCTTTGTTTTTGAACCTAATCTGCAGGGCTAACACAGGGATCATCTTGACATATGGGCAATAGTGTACCTGATACCAAAAAAACCTGACAGTCCATGAAGCTCTCCTGCCTCAAATGACTGCACTGTAACATCTAAAACTTGATCAGTGGTTTGTGTCTTATACTCTTGCAGGGATAATTGAGACATAAAATTCACAGCTTCCACCTGCAAAACCTCTGGTGTTCCTAAAAAGATGGGCAACGCAAGCTGCCTTGTGCAGTTAAGCCAATGCTGAGGCAGCATATGGATGCAACCCTGTGCACACTTTCCTGGAGCAACCCATTATCAGTGAGAGTTTTGTGTCCTGCCTGTCTGGATTTGCTCATTTAATCCAGCTGTTTATCCAAGGTGTTCAATGCACTTTATGGACAGGGAGGGCTCTGAGCCCAGGTCTTCATTTTGTAAGACCAACATTTTCATGTAAATATAAATCAGAACAGGTGTGAGTGAACTTTCAGTACCTGTTGTTTCACTGCAGTAAGGTTTTCTTCTGAGTTTAAATGCCTTAACCTTAATTCCAAATATAAAAAGAGCCAAGTCTGTTACACACCATGATAAGGGGTCAAAACCATCTAGCATCTGCTGAAGCCCACCACATGATTTTGTCTCCTAACTCTGTACCATGCACTGAAACAGCAACACCCCCTTCTGTTGAAGCTCAGAAGTGGATGAATGGAAGTTGCAATGTACGGCCTAGACTTGTTCTCCTGCCCTTTCCCTCTGAAACATGCAGCAGTGAAGGTTGTGCCTGCAGTACCAACCAAAAGGAGAGGGCTGGTGAAAGAGTGAGCAAGGAAGGTGGAAGAGCTTCCCCCATCTCTGCCTGCTTGCTGTCTCTTTCAGAAAGTGGTGGGCTCATTCTTTGCAAGCAGAGAATGTCCACTACCTCTGGTCAGCATGGGGGACAGGCTAAATCCTCCCCTCCAGGCTGCTTAGAGCAGCTTTATTTATTTATTTATTTATTTATTTATTTAAAACATTTCTATGCCGCCCCCATCGCAACAAAGCCTCGGGGCGGCTCACAAAGGACACATAAATACATACATAATGATAACCATTAAAAAAATCATTTAAAACCCCCCTGGTGCATTCTCGGCTAAAAATTACAGCTTGGCACTTCAGTTCCCATCAGCCCCAGCCAGCAGGGCCAATGGTCGGGACTGCTGGGAGCTGTAATCTAAACCATCCAGAGAACACAGGTTGGGGAGAGCAGGCTTAGAGGCAGTGAGCACACCTTACAGGGACGGGCAATAAGGCCTGGGCCCAAATGGGGGGGGGAGCCTGGGACCCCAACAAAGTCGCATTGCCAAGCGCCACCCATCAACTAGAACCAGGCCTGAGGACTCTCCTCTTTCTCAGCGTGGCTCGTGATCAATCTCACAGCTCCTGAGCTTTTGCTCCAGAGTCATTTTATTTTACCTGAAGAAACCAAAATGGCTACTCAGTGTAAGTTTTTAAACTGTACCCGCGCTAAGCCTCCTCTGCAGCGTAGATGGGCGGGCGGGCGTCTGTGTGGCCATGCGTGTCTCATACAGGACGCATTACGCACGTTCCCACCCGGGTCAAGGTAAGAGCAAGCGCCTCGCTTAACTTGGCTGCTCACAGCTCACCCCGCCCCGCCAGTGGCAGCAGCAAGTCCTGACCGTCCCACGGCTGGCACGGCGAGGCGGGCGTTCCGCTCTTTAACAGCCCTGCGCGGGCTGGGGCCACCGCACAGTAGGAAGCAGCCAGGCGAGCGCGGGCTCCGGGCGTCCGGGAGAGCGCGGACTCTTGACTGCGGTGGCTGCCGCGCGCGCGGGGACAGGAGCGGGGCGCGGAGCGGCAGGTTGCGCGCCACATGGGACAGCCGAAGCGCAGCGGGCTGCCCCGTCTCTTCTGCCTCTGAGGCGGGAGAAGAGAGCCGCCGCCGCCGCCGGCCAACCGGAACACGCGCCGCATGCGCCGCGCAGCGAGGAAAACGGAGAAGCAGAAGGGCACCAAATTCAAACCGTGGAAGGCGACAGGGAAAAGGGGAGAGGCGAGAGCTCGAGGAAATAGAGGGAAGCCCAGCGGGGAGAAGGAGGCGGCGGCGGTGGGAGGAGAGCGAAAGTGAGAGGAGCATAAGAAGAGGGGTTAGGGGAGGAGGAAGGGGTGGGAAGCAGAGGCCGGGTAGGGAAGAAAGTGAGCGGGTGAGTGTCCCTGCCATTCTCTCCAGAGGGAGCTCAGGTCTTCTGCTCGCTTCCTCCGCTGAGCGCGCTCTCGCTGAGGCAGAGCCAGCCGCTGCCTCCCTTTCGCTGTAGCTGAGCGTCCCCCACTGGGCACCGCCATGGTAGACAGGGGCCCCCTGCTGACGTCCGCAATCATCTTCTACCTGTCCATCGGAGCGGCGATCTTCGAAGTCCTGGAGGAACCGTACTGGCGAGAAGCGTCGGAAGATTACAAGGAGAAGAAAACGAAGCTCCTGAAAGAGTTTCCCTGCCTGGGCCAGAAGGGGCTGGACAGAATCCTGGAGGTGAGTTTGAACGCCGCGCCCGCCCCTCAAGAAATCCCACGGAGGAGCTGCGGTGTGGGGGAAAGCTGGTGGATCGGCCACCGGGCACGATGCGTTGCGCTTGATTCTTCGAGGCGGCGGATTTCAAAGGGCATTAGTTACAGTATAAGCCTAAGCAAATGCCACCTGAGGTTATTAGAAAACACGCACACATACCTATCTCATCTTGGAATATGAAGTAGGGAGGGAAATGACCCGTCCAGTCCCACTTTCCACCCAAATGGGACACGATTGTTTCTCGTGGGGGTGGGAGCCAACTCTTTTGAATGAAAACATGGTCATTGTTCAGGTCCGACGGCGCGTTTCAAGCCTTGTACCTCCCCCCGCCCCACTAAATTGCACGAAACTAACAATGCATGAACAAAATTCAAAGCCGGATGAATACCAGCAGAGTTCTTAAGCTGGGAGCATGTGTTTGCAGAACAAATTGTTCTGGAAAGGAGAAAAAATACTCTTAATATTTAGCACCACGTTGAATTATAACAACAGCCTCAATCCCTCCCTCCCCCCCCCTCCGTTTTACCTTCTCTCTGAATTTGAAATTGTTTAATGTTTTCAGAACTGGACCCCATGATTGTTCAGGCTCAGTTGAATTGTCACTCTTTCCACTCTGTAAATTCCAAGTCGAAATGCTTTTCTAGTGGCTTTTCTAGGGGGCAGGCCAGCGTTGGACTGTTTTGTATCAGCAGCAGGTGTATCGTTTCCTATTTTGTCTTTCCAAATGCGGTGCAGATGTACTAGTGCAACTTTAAAAATGTGAGCAGGTGAAGCAAGTAGTTTACCTTATAATGTGAAAACAAGTGCAATTAGTTTACGTTTCTTTTCAACATCTGGACGGCAACAAAGACTGCATCATAAGGGAAAGATACTAATAAGCAAGGAGCCTGTTTTACAATGGAAAGTCCTTTGCTCTCTCTGAAATTGTTGATCTCCAAAGCTCACAGGAGAAGGTTGGATTTAACTAAGTCACTGGGAAATGGTTGCTCAGGAGTAATGCAGTTTCTGGTTTCCTTAGCTAGACTACTTTTGCATTTCTCTTCTTACACTTTCAGTATGGAAACCCTGGTGCATCTAATTGTGAATAGAGAAATTCCAGTCCTCAAAGGACTCAGCTCCCAAGAGCCCCATTGATTGGGTTGCATGAGAATCCGGAAACAAAGGATGATGCTGAATAGCTCCTGCCCTTGATCCTTTTCTTTGTTTGCCTGTCTCTTCTTATGTGGTGCTAAGCTCCATTATGTGGAAACTTCATGGCACGTTTGTTAAGCTCTGGTTTGTACAGAGTGATAGGTCAGGAGGTAAAGAATTGCAGAATTCTTGTTATGACTGAATGTGATACATTTAGGGTACATTCATGGGTACTTTTAGTGTGCTGTATTTAGCACTACAAATCTTAACTAGTTCTGAAGTTCAGTGCTGTGGCACCTTTTAAACACTACAGTTATTATGACATAGGCTTTTGTGGAGTAAAGCGCTTTTTGTCAGGTAAATGAACTATTCTCAGTTTGTAGACTACTCTGAGGCAAGGACCTATCCTGTTGTACTCTGTAAAGCATCATGCACATTGATGGTGCTATATAAATAAATGAATACAAATGTGTATCTGTGCAGGGGGGGGTATAAACCCTGAGTGATTCACATAATCAGAGCAGCCCATCCTGAGGCATTTAAGCCACAGAGGGCTGCAGCACATGCCAAGCAGGAGTTGCAAAGGTCATGGAATAGAAGAGGTATAGAAGTGATGTGACATTTTAATGAAAATCTCATTCTGGAGTGCCTAACCCATGCCTCTGCACATCTATAAAGGGTTGCAGTATATCTTACTCCATCTGAGGTTCATGTTGAAGCCAATATGCCTGCAGCAGTTTCTGCAGTAAGGACCCAATCAGCTTATCTATGCAGGGTTTGCATGGTTTGGGTGTTCTGGTTTTCTGATTTCTCTGCTGTCACTGGTTTGTAGATAGATTTCCACATTGAACAAGGTCTTTTGGTGGAAAGAGGGGCAAGGATAGGAATGTACAAAACTGTATTCCAGTTTGCAACCCTGAATGCAAGCAGGAATATAATTCTCAGATTTTGTTTGCAGTTTCCCAAATTTGCATTTGTATATTCACAGATGCACATTTTCCTCTCTGATAAAAAATGCAAATTTTCCTGATTGCAAAAATCAGATACTCATTTTCAGAAACAGAAGGCAAACTGAGCTTTGATATAGCACTTGGGGAACCTCAACCAGCTTGATCATCACGTTTGCCCATTACTATGCAAAGCCTACAAGTAGTTTTGTCATAGCATAATTGTCTTGTTACAGTATTGTTTTGCATGATGTCCTCTAGCTTGTGAAGTGCTTTCAGGTACAATCCCATGAACTGTGCCCCCACCTCTCAAAAGGCCCCAAACTTAGAGGCTTACAGCTCAAGCTGGCAGGATGGGAAGAATGGTAGAGGTGAACTTTGCCTCCCCATCCAGTTTCCTGTATTGCCACTGAACAGACTTCTGATCCAGTCTAGTGAGGACTCCTTGGAAGAGGACAGAAGGAGGCTGAAGGAGACTCAGGATAAATCATGTCTTGGCCTCTTCAGCTTTCCCTCTTCCATATCCACTGCTTTCTTATAAACCTTAAATTGTTTTCCTGGAAGGAGTCATATAATGTTGATCATAAGCACCTCCTCTTTACAATGAGGAAACTGAGGCCGAGGGGGGAAATAGCCAAGGCCACCCAATGAGCCTTTGATAGTGATGGGATTTGAATCCAAATGTCTCAGGTCAAATTGAAATACTCTGAGCACTAGCATAGCATTCCTGACCTTTCTGAACTGAGATACTCATATCTGACTTGGACTGTGGAAAATCCCCCTTTAGTGCATGGCATGAATAGGATGATCATGTTGCACTCAGTTCTTTGGTTCTGCCTCTTTTGAGGTTTCTGGAGCTGTGTAAATTTATCCCACTCTGCCATCTCCTTGGCATGTTCCTGAATGATAAGTGTGGTCATTTTCAACAGTGGTTTGTAAACTTTGGCTTATTAAAGAGCACTGCTCTGTTTGTCTGTTCTTCCTGGACTTGTATCATCTTGTTCCTACACCCACCACATGGGAGGATGCATGACAAGCTTTCAGATTAAAATTTGACTACAGCAGACTCCAGTAAAGTTGTTTGTACACACAAAGGTGGTGGATTCTTAGAATATACTGAAAAAGCTGAGTTGATTAAGAGAGAAATTGATTGTGTTTCACGATTCACCTGAAATTGAAGCTAAATGGGATGAAAAATCCAAAGAAACTTATTCTGGTTAGTACTTTTTTTCTATTTCCATATTAACTTCAGAGAAGAGCATCATGTTCCGTGGAATAGCGTTTCAGAGCCATTGACTTTATGTTTGGTTACTCTGTTGCTGTTGGTTCCTTGCACATTACAAAAAGTATTTGAGTTAAACAATCTCTTGGTCTTTTGCATAAAGAATAACCTGGTCATCAAGTCTTGGAGCATGGTGTTGAAAGTATGCATCATGCATTCATACAGAGCATGCTTCTTCCTAGTGTGCTTAACTTACCTACAAGACTTCCAAAATTCACTCAGTGAAAATTTTGAGGGCACCCTTTTCTCCTGGCTAAAACTTTTTCCTTATTTTTTTCAAAATTCTTTTTCAGAATTCAGAGATGTTGCTGGTATAACTATTTTTCCCTCTGCTCAAATTTTGCCACATTCATACTCTTAATATTTTCATTAATTTCCATATGTAGCCTGAACACAGCTTGCATTCCACACACTCCCCCCACAACTGCCTCTGTCCTCCATGTGCTCTTATCTGCTTCTCTTCACTCCCTTTGCTTCAGTGAAGCCTTGTCAGGCCTCTGGTGTTTATCCTGTCCTCTCCTTAAAAAAACGACAACAAAAACTAGCTTCTTATTCTCCTATATATGCTTTTAAATTGTTAAATGTACTTAGCTTGAAATCTTATGTACATATGCTTGCGAGTAAGCCCCATTATATATAGTAAACATGCATAGAGTCTGGCTATGGGCAACAATAATTTTTAAAATTCAGTGGGTCTCCTCTGCAGCCTAAAAAGACTGATCCTGTTCTCTGCTTTGCTGTAGATTAGAAGCCATGCAAGAGGATTAGTTTAAAAGACTTGTCAAAGGAGACTTGCCAGTTTGCTTCGGTCTTGAGACTTTGATCTACCTCTTCTGCAGGTGTGTTGCCCTGCCATGCAAGGAGCTTTAGGGAATAGGATGGGAATTGGAAAACATGGCTTACTGATACCTCCTTGCTTAGCATTGGGAATCCTTGCTCCGTACCCCCTGGTTTTAGCATCGGTTTTGCTGTAGCTCCATGGGAAAACCTTTCTGGTGATCAAGCTGCAAACCTTTGTAATGGAGGATATGAATCCTCTGTTTTGTTGCTTTTGTGGGTGTCACTATGTGGATTTCTCGGCAGTGGCCCCAGCATTAGGCAGAAGGAGGCAGCCATCTCAGGTGACGGTCAGGTTTGTGCATGCCATGAGCTCTGTTATGCACTCTGGTGTACTTGAGTACAGTGAAGAATATAGTCCCCATCACCGCTGTCAAATTGCAACACCAGTTGGCTTCTTTATGTGGACTCTGGGAAGGGTACTAGCTTGTCCTTTGCTTCAGGCAACAAAATGTTTTGGGCCAGTCCTGGAATTATGAAAGTATCAGATTCAGAGCATGTATTGGCCCAATGTGGTCATAAAGCGACACCGTGAATAATAAACAATTATGAACTTGGGCGCATGTATTTGACCTTCCTCTTCTGCACCCACAAGGAGATTTTAAACTAACCACAAGTCCTTGTGATATCCAGATATGGTTAACAGTGGTTTCTTTAAACTCAGAACTTTAGTAGAACAAACCAGGATTTGAAACCTGTTTGATTTGTTCTTGCAAGCCAAGCAAACCACAGTTCTCTGAATTCAGTTATTATGAAGAAGATTGGCT